TTCTCCTTATTGTTGTATGTGTTTACCTCAGCTGGAAATTGGAAACCTTGAGAAAACTCGATCAATAATGGCAGAAGAACTGGTTAAATTAACAAATCAAAATGATGAACTGGAAGAAAAAGTGAAGGAAATACCAAAATTACGCACACAGTTAAAGGTAAATGTATTTCTGTTGTAAATCCACGTCAAATTTATGTAACTGCAGTTTTTATTAGGAATGCCCCTATCAGTTTAGGAGTATATTCAAGTCTCTCCCTAATCATAAATGATTGAGGATTTGGGATTTTTATAGAGTAAAATCTGAAAATGCCCACTCTGTAGCTGGGTAGTGACCTCAAAACACATTTGTTGGAAATGTGTACTGTGCAGAAGATTGTGTGCTAAATCAGGGAGGGAACATTCTTGTTTCTGTCATTTAAGACACTTGGCTGGAACTGGACTATTGATAAATAGCATGGATTTGAGAGGTTGATGCAGAAGCTGAATGAGTGTCCAGTAGAAATACAGGAGAGAGGACAAATATTTTAATCTTCATGTTTAAGAATTTAAATTGAAATATTTTGGGAATTATCATTATTCTATACATACAGAATGTTCCATTTTCTGCTGAAATATTTCACAAACTGGTAATTTCTGTAGTAAAACTGTGTAGTTTTTTAACTGTTTTTAGTGCTTATAGCACTAAAGGTGCTTTAGTACAGTCTCTGAAGCCAGCACTAATTCTTTGTAGGATTTTGGAATATCTTCCTTTTAATATCTAGAGTATAAATCTAGCCACATTCAAACACAAAGTATTTTTGAAGAGCTTATGGCATGCTTCATTGTAGTTATATTTTGATAAAGCAATGCTACACTTACTTCCCTGAGTAGTGTAAAACACTGTCCCAGGAGCAACTTTTTTAATGCTGAAAACCAGTCAGATAACAAACTTGTCCTTGCAGGATTTGGATCAAAGATACAACACAATTCTCCAGATGTATGGAGAGAAGGCAGAGGAAGCTGAGGAACTCCGACTGGATCTGGAAGATGTGAAAAACATGTACAAGACTCAGATAGATGAACTTTTAAGACAAAGACAAAATTAATTCCTGCTGGAACTCTTAACATTATATGTTAACAGACTGTAAAGATAACTGTTTATGTAAATGCTGAATTTAAATGTCTTGTAAAAAAATAACTGTATCATAGAAAATGTGACTATATCATAGAGTTCCTATGTTGACAGAAAAATCAGTGCTTTAAGTGTCCCATTCTGTCTGCAGTTAAATTATTTGTGCAATATTTAATTTTTTTTTCCAGTCATCCCTTTATTTAAGTCTTTGCTAAATGCTGGGTCATTTTATTTGTAAACAGTAGCAGAAATGATGGTTGTTACCTCATGAGACAGCACTGGAAGGCATGAGTTGTACTAAAACAGCCCTTGATTCATAATTCCTGTAAACCTATGAAAATCACATTAGAAGTCTTTCCTAAGTGTTCTTCATATGAGTTTTTCTAAAACCTCATCAGTGAATTTTTAATAACAAAATAGTGACTTGCTGTCTGAAGCATAACTGGTGGATATTTTTATGACAGCAGAATCTTACATTTGTGCTTGCAACATCTGAATATGTTAGGGTGATTATTCTTAAATCAGATTAGTCTGACTATTTTACACTAAGTCCTCTAAAGCAGAGTGTGAGACTCAGATGACACTTTAAATTACAGCTTCATCTTGTATATTGCTCATGTTCTTATGAACAGTGTAGAGACAACAGCTCTGCTTGTAATTGTAAATGTGTCTAATTTTAACACCAGAAATCTGAGCTACTAAATATTTATCCTAGATTTAGTTGCTGATTTTATAACAGTAGCTAAAACAGTTCAGAAGAATGCAGAAAACTCGTTCTTTTTTTAAAATAAGTTGCTGCAGCTCTCATGGTCCCTTGTATACAAGTAGCAGGGTTTAGACTTTCTGTAAAATTGTACTGTGACTTAATATACTTTTCAAGCAAGTCTCCAGTGGCTTCAAAGTATTTCTCATGCCATTCCTTAAGCAAGGTATTGGTCAAACAGCATCCATGTGACTTGGAGTGGAGCTGCATTTTTGGTAATGTCAGAGGAAACGTTTGAATTGGACCCTTGGGAATGCTGAGAATCGCGGGAAGGAGTTTTCGCCTTCCTCTCTGCATTCCAGAGGCCAAATATTTTGCTGCCTTTCGGAACCTACTCGTGTGAAATATTCGGCAGTCGAAATTCTTTGCTTATCATACCAGTGCCTCTGTTGGGAAAGGGTTTTTTTTTTTTCCCAGATCTGTGCACGTTGTAATTTGGGAACTCTCTCCCTGCTTGGGTATTCGGTGGCCTGAGAGAGACAAAGGATGTAAAGGATGAGAAATTGCTTCTGGAGAAAAGTGTCTCGGTAACATGGTTTTACTATTGGTGTTAAGGATTTATTCCTCACTGGGAGAACAGTTAATTCACTGAAGGTGCACAGGCAAGGGTATGTTCCTGTAAAATCCTAGTCCAATTTGAGATTCAGGCAGTTACTCTGAACATTTCAATAATGCCATGGAGCAAAAACACTAAAATTTGTTATAACTCCCCATCTGTCATAGAAACTTTAACTGCTTTAATATTAAATACTTTTTTCTTTTCCTTTTTTTTTTTAATGGGGAGGTGAGAGGGAACTATCCTCTTACTGTTTTCATTTCAAACCATGGTAATTCCATTTTTTTCCTGAAAACCTCAGAATTTAACACTTTTCCTTCATATTGAAGCACAGTTGGTTGCTCTAAGTTTCAAAAAAGCCCCAAACCAAGCAACCCCAAACAAAAACCACTCCTTATAAAAGCACTTTCTGGAGCTTTACTGATTTATTGTGTATTAGAATTATGATGTGCAAAGGTTAGTTCAGCCTTCTCTTAAGAAAACAACTCTTATGATGGTCAAAGATTAGAAATTCTGTTCAGCTTTTATCTACTACAGGAAATCAATAAATTGCTTGTTTTCAGCACTTTTTTACAATCTTGGTAGACAAATGCAGTACTCTAAAACCAAAAAAAAAATCATCCTTTGAACTTTTATTGGGATCTGTTGCTGCCAGTGCTTTTGAAGGTAACATTTCCTGTGTAATTTGTGCTCCTGAAGGGCTGACACAGGCAGTTCTGAGAATATCTTGGGCTATCTTGGATTTTCAGGAAGAGCTTTGTAAATGGGAAATTTTAATATGCAGTCAGCGTTAACTGTTTTCAATGTAAAAACAATTGACAGGTATTAGATTTTTAAATTTTACAAAAGTAGATGTAAATATTTTTATTGACTATTTTTGGATTCTTTATTCCCATTTAGTGTAACCTTTACTATCACCTGAGAATCAGATGGCCTTCTGTGTCTTAATCATCAAAGCCTTAGAAAACAAGGTGGCTGTTGGAAGGTAACATAGACTTTAAAGTATTCTGGTTTGGTCATCTTTGGCTTAATTCTTGTATGCTTGTTTTGAAGAAACATTACTGTCTGCGTGGACACATTTTGTTCATCGCTCTTCTTGAGTTTGCCTAGAAGAGTAACATGCAAAATTAAAGGTCTTAGGTCAGAATTCTAATATCCATGTCTGTTCAAATTTATTATTTTAGGACATTCCTTCTGAATGCAACTAATTTAGATCTCATTTTTCAGTGCATATGCAAGTATGAAGAAATGCTATTTAAAGGTTTACTCAAAGTACAGTGTTCAGAGGGGGCTGAATTCCCAGCCTAGGTAATGGAAAGGCCTCTGTGGATGTGGGTGGGTGTGGATGAGGAATAGACTCCTCGGTACTTGCTTCCTTTAAGAACACATTTTCAGAATCCCATGAGAGAAGGGTTAGTTCTACTTATTTTTCTTTCCCTAAAGGTTTGTTTTAACTTACATGCTTACATTTCACTAAGGGCTATAATGATCCTGAGTATGAGGCGAAATGGTTATTGCACGGTAAAATTAAACCCCTTGGTTTCTAGTTGTAAAATGTGTATAAAGGTGTAAAAAGCACGGGTCAGGGTAAAATAAAATTTTGTGCTAAGAGTGTGCTCTGGTTCTCTTTGAGAAAAGACTTAAAACAGTTCTGTGGTGGGTGGATGGGTATGAACCTGGTGGTATGAAACGAAAATACTGCTCAAGTCAAGAGATACCAGATCTAGCTGGAATTACAGATGCCAGTTCAATTCTTGTGCTGCTGCGGGTATTTAGGTAGAAGAGGGTGGTTTATTTATAAATGCACTGCAGTGATGGGATTATGGATAATGTGAAATTCAGACTAAACTCCTTTATTCAGGTAAGCGGTGTCAGCCCATCTGCCGGGCGCCTTCTGTCCCGTGTTCTCCCGCAGGTTTCCTGTGGCAGGCTGGGCGTTTGTTCCTCATTCCCCACCTGCGAACGAGGGGAGAAGAGCTCTGTGCTGGCGTGGAGGATTCAAAGCCCTTGAGTGTTGTCGCCTGTGCCCGCTCCGGCGCTCGGCGCGGCAGGAATTGGGTCAAACCGAAGGAGATTGCGGGTTCCCAATGCCGGCAGGAGCGCTGTCATGTGCCTGCCCCGCATCCCAGCGGGGGCAGGGCGTTCATCCACCTCCGCCCCTGGAGCGGGGCACTGTCTGAGCGCGGCGCTGCCGCCGGGCCGGCCCCGCTCCTGGGACTCAGGGGGAGCCCCTGGAACAATGGGGTGCCGGGAAGCTCCGCTTCCTGCCGAGCGGCGGCAGGAAAAGGCCCTTTTCCTCCGCATCCTGCCATCGCCGCTCCCGGGGCGGCAGCGCTTGATTTCCGGCAGCAGAAGGAAGACGCGCCGCTGATCCCCCGCGGGCAGGTGCCCCCCGCCCCGGACCCACCTGAGCGCCGCCGGAGCCCGGCCCGCGACCCCGCCCGCTTCCCGGGAGCCAGGCCGGGCTCCTCCTTCCCTCCCTCCTTCGCTCCCTCCTTCCCTCCCTCCTTCCCCGGCTCCCGCCGCCCCCGGGCGGGGCGGTCCCGGCGGCCGCAGCGCTCCGGCCGCGGCTGTTCCCGGGGCGGGGGCGGCGGTGCCGCCCGGCCCTCCCTCCTTCCCCTCCCTCCTTCCCCTCCCTCACACCCGCGGGGAGCGCGGTCCTCGCACACGGGCGCTGCCCCCGCGGGGCCGGGCCGGGCGCTCCCCCCCGGACATGAGGATTGAGGCCATCGGCGAGCGCGCACCGGGAGGAGCGGCCGGTCCCGTGGGCCGCGGGGCTGCCCGGGGCCGGCGGGGCTGAGGTGCGGTGATGGGGTGGGGTGTGCGGAGCGGTGACACGCGGAGCGGTGATGGGGTG